ACTTGAACAGCATGTAATGTTTGTACTTTTGGATCAATTTTTTTAGTTAATGATTCATCACCAACAAATATTATTGGTAATTTACCAGTAACTATGAATGGCTCACTTTGAATATCATTAGGATGATTGTATCGCAACTCATATTCAAGAACATCTATTTCTGTACCATCCGGTACTGATGCCGAAACTGTAAAATCACAAAGAATAACACGCAGATTATCAACATGAAGATCACCAAGATTTGCACCCTGAGCAGTATTTGTATAACCCCATATTTTTGTTACAATTCCATTATTGATACCACGAACAATTAATTGAGCTTGTGTACCACAAACATCAAAAACACTTTGAAGTGCATTCGTCATTAACTGAACAATAACCTCAGCTGTTTCAAGAAAAAAAAAACTGCCCATTACCAGATTCAGCAATACCTTTCATTATTCCTTCATCAAAATCTTCACCAACACCAAATGAATCAATAATGATACCTTTTTCATTGTAATTTTTAACGAATCTATTGATTTCTGCTTTTGACTGTAAACCAATATTAGCTAATCCGTCGGACAAGACAAACATTCGTTTAGAATAACCAGGATGTGGATATTTTTCAAAAAGATCCGCACCACTTTTAATACCACCAGATAAATTTGTAGAACCACCAGTTGTAATTTGTCTTACTGTTGAATAAAGAGCTTGACGATTTGATGCAGGAGCATCTTCAAAAATATTCAAAATCTTATCATCATAAGCTACGAGATGAACAATATCGTCATCATGAAGCAAATCAAGTACTGAAATAACAGCTTGTTTTGCAAATTCTAGTTTGTTTTTTGATAACATTGAGCCGCTGCGGTCAAGTACTAATACAAGATTAATTGGATTTCTTTTGGTTTGTTCAGCATTTTGTTCATTTTTCTTTGTTTCAATTTCGAATCGAGCTCGTTTATGATTTACGACACCAATAACTGCATAACGATTATCAGGAATACAATTAATATTCACGGATGCTAATGTATTCGTAGCCATTTGTAGATTTTTTGAATCTGTAAAGCGGATAAAAAAGGCAGCTTGTATATATATGGTTGATTATTACCAATGACTCAATCTGGAAATTTCATCATAATTCTTGATAGAAAAAAACCCGTAAGTCATGAAACTTGAAAGCACATTTACATTTTTATTATTTATTTAGCGAATGGTGAAAGATAAGGTAACGTGTAACTCTGACTCACTTTACCTTTTACATGACTTATATGAATTGTGTCAGTATATAAAAAATAATTTTATGACTAACAAAATGTTGTACTGTGCAACGATTAGATTTTTCATTTCATAAGTTTGAATTCGACAATAATAAAAATGAGACAAGAATTCAAAAAACGAAAATGTTGCTTCTGAAAACAATGACGAATTGAGTTTATTCTTATCATTGAAAGCAAAAAAACCGCTCTCTTTTGTTAAGGATTACAGGTGGGTGTGAGTGTATGTTATGCTATGTGTGATATTCATTCATACCACGTTCACGCCCATACCTAACATCACTTCTGAGAAATTCACATTTTAACTTTACAATAGCAATGGGCCTTGAAGCTCCAGGTCGTCTTCCTTAATCCTAAGCCACAAAAATACGGCGATAGCATCAGGAATTTTGTCTATAGTATGCCATTCATTTGATAGAGAGAATTGAAATCAGAGGATCAAACACTTTTCATAAACTTGTGCCGCATAACTTCAACGAATATTTTGAATTGAGTTTAAAGATCCATATGACTTCTGAAAACTATAAATGTTAGTCATATTAATTTGAGAGTCAAAAAAATTCAAGTTTGTAATCATAAAATGAATAAAAATAGTCAATTTATGAATCACCATGTATTTTAATGACCATTTTCGCGTTATTCACTGGGTAGGATTGTTTTGCGCATGGATTATATTGAGTTTAGACAAATTCTCTTTCGTTATTTTATAATATTAAAAAAAAGAAAGTCTTCATGTTATACATGTACATAATCTTTACTCAGTATTTTTTTCTTTCCTACAGACAACAAATACAGAGAATTGCATAGAAGTTTTTAAATAATTTTTGATTTGATAACGAATCATTCACTCGATATCATGTTTCTGCTCTATGTATATATAAATCAAACCATCATATATTATTATTGAAATAAGAGTAAGCGGCTATAACAGCAATATCGTTATAGAAAAAAAGAAGAAAAAAATAACGTATTTTCACTCATACACAAAGATTTCAAAACTGTGTCACAAGAATCATCATATTTGATTTTCAGTTATCGATGCGATGAATGCGTGCTCTTCTACATGTAAAAGCTGATCTGATCAAGAAACTAAGTTTAAAACGACTTCTTTTTTTTATAAATCAATCGTTTTTTCTTTCGTAAATAACGATAAGAATCACGAATGTGTATGCTACAAATTTGATGTAGTATTGTTTATTATTTAGAAATGCAATTGTTTAATCCTTTTTTATATCGACGTTGTATAATTATCTTTCTAATTTTATTTTGCATTTTCTCTTATCTGTATTATTTTAATTTTCAATCACAGTTTCGACTAACATGGAAGCCAACTACTCGCATAATGTATCTTGTTCGAACAGTATCAAAATATCATTCATCTCGTCTTGTTCATCTTCTTGAAACATGGATTTCACTTGTTCATGAACATGTCTATTATATAAGTGATACCTATCCACCTAATATCACTCGAACACATGTAATAGCAACAGGAACAACTTGTGGTCCTAGCTCACATAAAGTTCGAGCTCTTTGTTGTCAAACAATTCATGATTTTATTTTTTATCGTCGTTATGAATCTCAATATGATTGGTTTTGTCATTTTGATGATGATCAATATGTTCATACAAATAATCTTCGTGAATATTTATCTAAACTTGATTTTAATCATCCATATTATATTGGACGAAATTCTTGGAATGTATCATTTAAACGAAGAAAAAAATCTCATTCAGGTCGTTTTTGGTTTGCAACACTTGGCGCTGGTGTTTGTCTATCGAAACGTACTCTTCATTTACTTGAACCTTATACTCGTACTGTATCGCAATTTGTCGATGGATGTTCACGACAATGGTATC